GTTCAGAACTTTTGTGAAACATCACAGTACAGTTGAGATAGATATGGCAAATAGAAATCCAATATGGATGGTGTTAAGAGATAGATGGGAGGTGTTTAATGGAGCTGAAGGATGGGACTAATAACAACAAGATAACTAATATAAAGCATACTGTGTCCATAATAAGTATATAGGTCCTCTGTAGCTCAGCTGGTAGAGCACGGCGCTTGTAACGCCAAGGTAGTGGGTTCGATCCCCGGGACCACCCATACACAAAAATGTATGCACGCACGACTGTAAGTCGCTTTGGATAAAAGCGTCTGCTAAATGGCATATTATTATTATTATTATTATTATTATTATTATTATTATTATTATTATTATTATTATAGGTTGAGAGCTTTTGTGAAAGAGCACAGTTAGAAAGATATAGCGAGAAATATATATATATATATATATATGCGAGAAAAGAAAACATATGGGGGATTGGAAGTGATGCAGACAATTGATGGAAGTTACACTATCTGCAGTATTAAAGCTGATCTACCCCCCAAAAGAAGTATATAATAAAATACGGTATACCGCCCAGCCTCGAGGCCTACTAGATAACAATACCTATTCATGTTTTTTTGTTTCATCACAGCCCTCACTGTGCACCATTACACAAAGCTGTACAGTAACTTAAGAAGAGAGAGAAGATGAGAGAGGAGGAGAAGCGTGGCAGGTGTCTCACCTGGGAACTGCTGGGGCGCTGCCAGAAGCAGGTTAACATGCTGAAGGAATACAAACCGCTCCTTTTCTGTTTCTCGGCTTACTACATTCCAAATGGCACCCTATGCCCTATGTTGACCACTCATTTTGACCAAGACCCATGGGTCTCTAGTCGAAAGTAGTGCACTATGTAGGGAATAGGGTGCCATGCGGGTTACACCCTTCCAGGCCCAATGGGGTTTCAAATTCAGGCCTTTTTTTGTAGACCTCCCACCCTCCTCAATTAATCCTACCTGCAGGCCCGCCTGTATACTGTTTCGTTGTCGAGCTGCTTGACATTTTAATCTTTAATTTCTCTCAACAGAGAATAATCCATGATTTAGGGCTGTGTGGTATACCATATACAGTGGGGAGAACAAGTATTTGAAACACTGCCGATTTTGCAGGTTTTCCTACTTACAAAGCATGTAGAGGTCTGTAATTTTTATCATAGGTACACTTCAACTGTGAGAGACGGAATCTAAAACAAAAATCCAGAAAATCACATTGTATGATTTTTAAGTAATTAATTTGCATTTTATTGCATGACATAAGTATTTGATTACCTACCAACCAGTAAGAATTCTGGCTCTCACAGACCTGTTAGTTTTTCTTTAAGAAGCCCTCCTGTTCTCCACTCATTACCTGTATTAACTGCACCTGTTTGAACTCATTACCTGTATAAAAGACACCTGTCCACACACTCAATCAAACATACTCCAACCTCTCCACAATGGCCAAGACTAGAGAGCTGTGTAAGGACATCAGGGATAAAATTGTAGACCTGCACAAGGCTGGGATGGGCTACAGGACAATAGGCAAGCAGCTTGGTGAGAAGGCAACAACTGTTGGCGCAATTATTAGAAAATGGAAGAAGTTCAAGATGACGGTGAATCACCCTCGGTCTGAGGCTCCATGCAAGATCTCACCTCGTGGGGCATCAATGATCATGAGGAAGGTGAGGGATCAGCCCAGAACTACACGGCAGGACCTGGTCAATGACCTGAAGAGAGCTGGGACCACAGTCTCAAAGAAAACCATTAGTAACACACTACGCCGTCATGGATTAAAATCCTGCAGAGCACACAAGGTCCCCCTGCTCAAGACAGCGCATGTCCAGGCCCGTCTGAAGTTTGCCAATGACCATCTGGATGATCCAGAGAAGGAATGGGAGAAGGTCATGTGGTCTGATGAGACAAAAATAGAGCTTTTTGGTCTAAACTCCACTCGCCGTGTTTGGAGGAAGAAGAAGGATGAGTACAACCCCAAGAACACCATCCCAACCGTGAAGCATGGAGGTGGAAACATCATTCTTTGGGGATGCTTTTCTGCAAAGGGGACAGGACGACTGCACCGTATTGAGGGGAGGATGGATGGGGCCATGTATCGCGAGATCTTGGCCAACAACCTTCCCTCAGTAAGAGCATTGAAGATGGGTCATGGCTGGGTCTTCCAGCATGACAACGACCCGAAACACACAGCCAGGGCAACTAAGGAGTGGCTCCGTAAGAAGCATCTCAAGGTCCTGGAGTGGCCTAGCCAGGCTCCAGACCTGAACCCAATAGAACATCTTTGGAGGGAGCTGAAAGTCTGTATTGCCCAGCGACAGCCCTGAAACCTGAAGGATCTGGAGAAGGTCTGTATGGAGGAGTGGGCCAAAATCCCTGCTGCAGTGTGTGCAAACCTGGTCAAGACCTACAGGAAACGTATGATCTCTGTAATTGCAAACAAAGGTTTCTGTACCAAATATTAAGTTCTGCTTTTCTGATGTATCAAATACTTATGTCATGCAATAAAATGCAAATGAATTACTTAAAAATCATACAATGTGATTTTCTGGATTTTTGTTTTAGATTCCGTCTCTCACAGTTGAAGTGTACCTATGATAGAAATTACAGACCTCTACATGCTTTGTAAGTAGGAAAACCTGCAAAATCGGCAGTGTATCAAATACTTGTTCTCCCCACTGTATATCCATGATCCCAACAGTTCACCCAAGTGTTGTGATATAAATCACAAGTCAAATCGCAATTGCAACATTTGGTTAAAAATAAGGCCTAGATTTTTTGCCAATATTGTGCAGCCCTATGTGGCAGTGTGGAAGTGATATCAAATGAGTGTAAGAAATGCAGAAATAGATGATAATGCAGCAAATTATTTTTGGTTGAATTGAACAGAAGAAAACAATCAGAATGGAGAAAGACTCATTGAAATCACTTAGAATGTATGTGTTGCCAACCTAGGGTCACGCACTACTCAAAAAGCAAACGTTTATTATTCAAAAACATACCGTCATACTGTATAAAAATAAAATAAATACTGTGATATGATATTTTGGCCATATCGCCCAGCCCTACCATGAATGGCACCCTATTCCCCCTATAGTGCACAGGTCTCGTCACTGTGACGACAGATTTCTGTCACATGGATTCTTTCTTTTAAAGGCAGATCCAATTTTTCTCAGACTAAAGGTCCCAAAGGTTCTGCACATGTGCACAGTGCTCACTGGGCTCACTGGCTCACTGGGCTCACTGGCTCACTGGGCTCACTGGGCTCACTGGCTCACTGGGCTCACTGGGCTCACTGGGCTCACTGGGCTCACTGGCTCACTGGGCTCACTGGGCTCACTGGCTCACTGGGCTCACTGGGCTCACTGGGCTCACTGGGCTCACTGGCTCACTGGGCTCACTGGGCTCACTGGGCTCACTGGGCTCACTGGCTCACTGGGCTCACTGGGCTCACTGGCTCACTGGGCTCACTGGGCTCACTGGGCTCACTGGCTCACTGGGCTCACTGGGCTTCCGCTTCCCCCTCCTTCCTCCAGGATGTCTTTGGAATGTTCATTCAAATCCCCGCAGGGTTTTTATTTCTGCTGTTCAGGAGTATGAGGCTACTAGTCTGAGTACCTTTTTTAGCTTGGGTCAGTCAGTATGAAAAATGTATGCGCTCACTTAACTGTAAGTCGCTCTGGATAAGAGCGTCTGCTAACAGTAGTCATAAGATATGCAGTCTGACTGTCTACCAAGGTCATATCTGGAGGCTCATTTCATCACTCCTGGGATGTTCTAGGCCAAGGGGACTGAAATAAGTTTATATTTAGGTGGCAGTTCTATTGAGTAATCTAGTGATAAGAGACCGAGCTAGCTGGCACTGGAAGCTTCAATACTCTGGCAGCCCGACGCTTTCAACGTCTTAACCTTAGTTAAGAGACATGACACCACTTAGAGGTTGTAGCTCTTCACTAGTCTGTAGGAGAAACAATCAATCTCGGATAGAAAGGGGATAAAGACCACTTCTTCAGTGTATATTTCACCTTTTATATCTGAGATTGATTGTTTCTCCTACAGACTAGCGTCTTGTCCAAGTGGTGTACTTGTACATGAAGCTGGCTCACGCTACAGAATCAGGAGGTGGGGCTCCTTCCCTACAGGCCGGTCTGGGTGGGACAAGACTTACTTAGAATCAATCAATCTCTCTTCCTTTCAGATCACAGACGTGTCGTTGCCAAACTACCTGGTGGCGTCGTCAGTAGGCCTGCTGCCCACACAGCTTCTAAACTCCTACCTGGGCACCACGCTGCGCACCATGGAGGACGTCATCGCAGAACAGAGCGTCAGCGGATACTTTGTCTTCAGTCTACAGGTGAGTCAGAACAGAGCGTTAGTAGATACTTTGTCTTCAGTCTACAGGTAAAAATAATGATCAGTAATAATACATGGGATATATATTTAGTGCTTTTCAAATACCCAAAGACGCTTAAGGTGAGTTAGTGGCAGGCTGTCTGTCAGACTCATTGTATGGTTCTAAACTGTATGGTTCTAAACTGTATGGTTCTAAACTGTATGGTTCTAAACTGTATGGTTCTAAACTGTATGGTTCTAAACTGTATGGTTCTAAACTGTATGGTTATAAACTGTATGGTTCTAAACTGTATGGTTATAAACTGTATGGTTCTAAACTGTATGGTTTTACCACTATGGTTATAAACACTATGGTTCTAGCCACTATGGTCCTAGTCACTATGGTCCTAGCCACTATGGTCCTAGTCACTATGGTCCTAGTCACTATGGTCCTAGTCACTATGGTCCTAGCCACTATGGTCCTAGTCACTATGGTCCTAGCCACTATGGTCCTAGTCACTATGGTTCTAAACACTATGGTTCTAAACACTATGCTCCTAGCCACTATGGTCCTAGCCACTATGGTCCTAGCCACTATGGTCCTATGGTATATAATATAATATAATATAATAATAAATAATAATTGTAACTATGGTCCTATCCACTATGGTCCTAGTCACTATGGTCCTAGTCACTATGGTCCTAGTCACTATGGTCCTAGTCACTATGGTCCTAGCCACTATGGTCCTAGTCACTATGGTCCTAGCCACTATGGTCCTAGTCACTATGGTTCTAAACACTATGGTTCTAAACACTATGGTCCTAGTCACTATGGTCCTAGCCACTATGGTCCTATGGTATATAATATAATATAATAATAAATAATAATTGTAACTATGGTCCTATCCACTATGGTTCTAGCCACTATGGTCCTATCCACTATGGTCCTAGTCACTATGGTCCTAGTCACTATGGTCCTAGTCACTATGGTTCTAAACACTATGGTCCTAGTCACTATGGTCCTAGTCACTATGGTCCTAGCCACTATGGTCCTAGTCACTATGGTTCTAAACACTATGGTCCTATCCACTATGGTCCTAGCCACTATGGTTTTAACAGTATGGTTCTAACCAGTTTGGTTCTAGTCACTATGGTCCTAGTCACTATGGTCCTAGTCACTATGGTTCTAAACACTATGGTCCTAGTCACTATGGTTCTAAACACTATGGTCCTAGTCACTATGGTCCTAGTCACTATGGTCCTAGTCACTATGGTCCTAGTCACTATGGTTCTAAACACTATGGTCCTAGTCACTATGGTCCTAGTCACTATGGTCCTAGCCACTATGGTCCTAGCCACTAAGGTTCTAAACACTATGGTCCTATCCACTATGGTCCTAGCCACTATGGTCCTATGGTATATAATATAATATAATAATAAATAATAATTGTAACTATGGTCCTAGTCACTATGGTTCTAGCCACTATGGTCCTAGTCACTATGGTCCTAGTCACTATGGTTCTAAACACTATGGTCCTAGTCACTATGGTCCTAGTCACTATGGTTCTAAACACTATGGTTCTAAACACTATGGTCCTAGTCACTATGGTCCTAGTCACTATGGTCCTAGTCACTATGGTCCTAGTCACTATGGTCCTAGTCACTATGGTCCTAGCCACTATGGTCCTAGCCACTATGGTTCTAGTCACTATGGTCCTAGCCACTATGGTCCTAGCCACTAAGGTTCTAAACACTATGGTCCTATCCACTATGGTCCTAGCCACTATGGTCCTATGGTATATAATATAATATAATATAATATAATAATAAATAATAATTGTAACTATGGTCCTATCCACTATGGTTCTAGCCACTATGGTCCTAGTCACTATGGTTCTAGCCACTATGGTCCTAGTCACTATGGTCCTAGTCACTATGGTTCTAAACACTATGGTCCTAGTCACTATGGTCCTAGTCACTATGGTCCTAGTCACTATGGTTCTAAACACTATGGTCCTAGTCACTATGGTCCTAGTCACTATGGTCCTAGCCACTATGGTCCTAGCCACTAAGGTTCTAAACACTATGGTCCTATCCACTATGGTCCTAGCCACTATGGTCCTATGGTATATAATATAATATAATAATAAATAATAATTGTAACTATGGTCCTATCCACTATGGTTCTAAACACTATGGTCCTAGTCACTATGGTCCTAGTCACTATGGTCCTAGTCACTATGGTCCTAGTCACTATGGTTCTAAACACTATGGTTCTAAACACTATGGTCCTAGTCACTATGGTCCTAGTCACTATGGTCCTAGTCACTATGGTCCTAGTCACTATGGTCCTAGTCACTATGGTCCTAGCCACTATGGTCCTAGCCACTATGGTCCTAGTCACTATGGTTCTAAACACTATGGTCCTAGTCACTATGGTCCTAGTCACTATGGTCCTAGTCACTATGGTCCTAGTCACTATGGTCCTAGTCACTATGGTCCTAGCCACTATGGTCCTAGTCACTATGGTTCTAAACACTATGGTTCTAAACACTATGGTCCTAGTCACTATGGTCCTAGTCACTATGGTCCTAGTCACTATGGTCCTAGTCACTATGGTTCTAAACACTATGGTCCTAGTCACTATGGTCCTAGCCACTATGGTCCTAGCCACTATGGTTCTAAACACTATGGTCCTAGTCACTATGGTCCTATCCACTATGGTCCTAGCCACTATGGTTTTAACAGTATGGTTCTAACCAGTTTGGTTCTAAAGCACCTATCTCTTCTCTCTCAGATCATCATTAGTATAGGCATGATGTTCTACAGTAATTACATGGTTCTAAATAGTATGGTTCTAAATAGTATGGTTCTAAATAGTATGGTTCATGATGGTTCTCTCCTCCATCAGATCATCATTAGTATAGGGTTCATGTTCTATGTGGTAGTTATTCTATGGTTCTAACAGTATGGTTCTAAAACACGGTTCTGTTTCCCTCTCCCTCAGATCATCATTAGTATAGGCCTGATGTTCTACGTGGTCCATCGGGCCCAGGTGGAGCTGAATGCGGCCATCGCTGCCTGTCAGATGGAGCTGAAGACATCACACATGAACGGCACTTCCACCAATCACAGCGGCTTCACCTACTGCAGCAAGAGGGCGTCGGCCGGGGGTGGGATCATCAACGTGGTCTGATAAATTCTCTAAAACCCTGATTGGACACGAGCTATTGGGATCAAACTGAACACTGACGGGCCAGTGGAGCAGTTCTGATATCTGATTGGAGTGCCTTCCAAATAGGGATGCTGATTGTGTGGATATCAGTCAGTCTGACGTACAATATGCTAACAATATGAATGTGCAAACTAGAATGGGTTTGTTGTGTTCTGTTTCCATGTTCAAACCAAAGCCTCCCCATGCACCTCAGACGTTTTAGTTTGCACTTATTTTTTTGGGTTAATTCATTTGTTGTTTCTATTATAATTTTTTGCATTTTTTATGTTGATTTGCAAAATAGTGATGGACATTATTTGGTTTATTAGTCTATAGTTTAATTGTGCCTTATTGTTTAGGATAGAGAGAGACAAAGCTCTCTGTTACCAGGCAAGGAGGACTGGAGTTCATTAGGCACCAAACGGAAGAAAACAGGAAACCGAAACAGGGAGGGACCGAAACAGGGAGGGACCGAAACAGGGAGGGACCGGAAACAGGGAGGGACCGGAAACAGGGAGGGACCGAAACAGGGAGGGACCAAAAACAGGGAGGGACCGAAAACAGGGAGGGACCGAAACAGGGAGGGACCGAAAACAGGGAGGGACCGAAAACAGGGAGGGACCGAAACAGGGAGGGACTAAACAGGGAGGGACTAAACAGGGAGGGACTAAACTTAACCTGTTTTCATTTTCCATTGCATAACGTTTTGCTTCAGTGATCGCTAATGAACAGGACCCATGTGGTGAGTGCTGGCAAGGACTAAGAGATGACCGTCCTCTGCTTTGGCCTGGCTGTCCAATAAGAACAGGTCTGCTTTGGCCTGGCTGCCCTGTCCTGCCCTGCCCTGTTCTGTCCTGCCCTGTTCTGTCCTGCCCTGTTCTGTCCTGCCCTGCCCTGTTCTGTCCTGCCCTGCCCTGCCCTGCCCTGCCCTGTCCTGCCCTGCCCTGCCCTGCCCTGCCCTGCCCTGCCCTGCCCTGTCCTGCCCTGCCCTGCCCTGTCCTGCCCTGCCCTGCCCTGCCCTGCCCTGCCCTGCCCTGCCCTGCCCTGCCCTGTCCTGCCCTGTCCTGCCCTGCCCTGCCCTGCCCTGTCCTGTCCTGTCCTGTCCTGTCCTACCCTACCCTACCCTACCCTACCCTACCCTACCCTGCCCTACCCTGCCCTGCCCTGCCCTGCCCTGCCCTGCCCTGCCCTGCCCTGCCCTGCCCTGTCCTGTCCTGTCCTGTCCTGCCCTGCCCTGTCCTGTCCTGCCCTGTCCTGTCTGTCCGGGATCATTTTAGCGGCTCTGCAGTTCTGACAGGAACAGATGGAAAGGAGAGACATTCTCAGCAGGAAATGTTGTAATGTTCTGCCAAGGAACCCTGAGTACAGCATGATCTGATTTACTGTAGGCTAGCTAGCTTAACCATTCTGATTTACTGTAGGCTAGCTAGCTTAACCATTCTGATTTACTGTAGGCTAGCTAGCTTAACCATTCTGATTTACTGTAGGCTAGCTAGCTTAACCATTCTGATTTACTGTAGGCTAGCTAGCTTAACCTTTCTGATTTACTGTAGGCTAGCTAGCTTAACCATTCTGATTTACTGTAGGCTAGCTAGCTTAACCATTCTGATTTACTGTAGGCTAGCTAGCTTAACCATTCTGATTTACTGTAGGCTAGCTAGCTTAACCATTCTGATTTACTGTAGGCTAGCTAGCTTAACCATTCTGATTTACTGTAGGCTAGCTAGCTTAACCATTCTGATTTACTGTAGGCTAGCTAGCTTAACCATTCTGATTTACTGTAGGGTAGCTAGCTTAACCATTATGATTTACTGTAGGCTAGCTAGCTTAACCATTCTGATTTACTGTAGGGTAGCTAGCTTAACCATTCTGATTTACTGTAGGCTAGCTAGCTTAACCATTCTGATTTACTCTAGGGTAGCTAGCTTAACCATTCTGATTTACTGTAGGCTAGCTAGCTTAACCTTTCTGATTTACTGTAGGCTAGCTAGCTTAACCATTCTGATTTACTGTAGGCTAGCTAGCTTAACCATTCTGATTTACTCTAGGGTAGCTAGCTTAACCATTATGCTCACTATAGAAAACAATATTCTATTGTGAGGATATCTGTTTGTGCTGTCATGTCAACATGTTTGGCATGATGGCACAAACAGGCTGTAAACTTCTCCCAAATAGAAAACTATTTTCTACTGAGAGTAAAAAGGATAGCTGTTTAAGTCTCTCTGGCCTGCTTCAGAATATCCTACAACTAGTTATTTGTTTTGAGCAGGTTTGTTGTAACTTCAGTTCTATGATTTATTAGATTTTTTTTGCGGTCTATTATAGTTTTGGCTGTGTGATTATTTCGATCATGGATTCGTCTTTCTCCAGTGCAATACCCCCACACAACCAATTGATTGTCGTCATTATAATGCTATAGTTTTTGTAACCAAACTAAACTAATTACACACGCGCACACACACACACAGACACACACACACACACACAGAGAGAGAGAGGAAAACAACACGTAGACATGTTAAAGGTTATATCCAAGTGTACAGTGTTCCTGACTACTTATGATGTCAGCTGGCATGAGAGTTGTTATGTTCTGGGCCATACTAAAAGTAAATGCTTATCAAATGTCAGCCTTTTGACCCCATTTGAGTTGAGGTTAAATGTTAAATTTTTCCAAGTTATTAATAGCTGTGTATTACTTTATATTTTTCATGAGAACTGTTGTGTTTTTGATTTGAGGGTTTTAAAGATACAACTATATAACGATAAGAAGGTTTGCACAGTTTAAAATCCAGACAGAACAATATTTTCATATTGTGAACATACACTACATGACCAAAAGTATGTGGACACCTGCTCGTCGAACATCTCATTCAAAAATCATGGGCATTAATATGGAGTTGGTCCCCCCTTTGCTGCTATAACAGCCTCCACTCTTCTGGGAAGGCTTTCCACTAGATGTTGGAACATTGCTGTGGGGACTTGCTTCCATTCAGCCACAAGAGCATTAGTGAGGTCGGGCACTGATGTTGGGCGATTAGTCAGTCGGCGTTCCAATTCATCCCAAAGGTGTTCGATGGGGTTGAGGTCAAGGCTCTGTGCAGGCCAGTCAAGTTCTTCCACACCGATCTCGACAAACCATTTCTGTTTGGACCTCGCTTTGTGCACGGGGGCATTGTCATGCTGAAACAGGAAGGAAAGGGCCTTCCCCAAACTGT